CTGGGGTGTAAATACATATTTTTGGCCACGAGGACAAAACATGAAGGCTGTTCCCTCCTGCTGGGGAAGAAAGAGGGTGCCCTGATCACCCACCAAGCTCCTCCCAGCCTGGCCCCCCACTGCTGGTGGGGTTGGGGTCCTGGTGTACCCCCGTCAAGCCACGTCTGCCCTACCTGCCAGGCTGGGGTTTGCCTGTGAGGCTGCATCTGCACCAGGTCGTTGCCCCAGCCTCTTGACTCATCGTTTCCAAGCCCGGGGCACCATGCCAAGGAGAACAGGTTGAGCACAGGAGAGGACACCTGACACTCCTGTCTCCGGCGGGACTCCCAGCCTTGGGCAACGGGGAAAAGCTGCTGGGCTGGAGTGGAGCAAAGCCAAGGCTGGCTCAGCAGGTTTGGTGCCACCAACCCAGGTGGCCCCGTGGGACAGTTCCTTCGGGAGTGCCATGCCAGCAGCTCCCCTGGCACCCCCAGGTCTCAGCAGGTTTAGCCTATTCAGGACACCCTCCTCATGGCTTTGACTGGAGGGAGCAGACAGGATTTGGGTCACAGAAGCCCTTTTCCAAGTGAAAACCCAGCTGGTGGACATGGGCTCCTGGTGACATGGCCTCATGAAGCACATGTGCTGGTATGGGACAGAAAACCTCTGGGAAGACAAACGTATTGCAAATTTATCTTCTCAAGCCACAGACAGCCAGGAAACCTGCAACCTGCCATCAACCAGAATTTCAGGTCCTCTTCTGGTTGTAGGGTTTGGTCTGCTTGTTCACACCCACTTATGGATGCACCTGGTGCTGGGGACGCAGGGATTTGTAGACAGAAGAGCAGCTGAAGCCATCTCCCTTTTGCTCAGGTCCTTTTGACCACCACTGGGTGCTGTGATGGTAGTTGTGCCCTTCACCACCCCCCTCCCTCCCCACCCACCCAAATCTGACCGACACTGGGTCATAAATAAGCCCTGTGATAGGAAACACCAGCCCTGGGATATAAATAGGAGAAACCTGCCATGTCTGCCAGCCCTGACTCTGGATGAGATGGCACCAAACAAGACCCAGCAAGCCCAGGGACGTGTTAGATGCTGCATCTGTGCTGGCTTGGTGCTGGCTTACTGGTTATACTGGGGAAAGCCCTGATCCAAGGGGGAAGTGTATGGGTCTGAGCCCCATGCAGACATTCCCACTGCCACAGAAAGTGGGGTCTGGGGGTGCTGGGTGCTGCAAAGGTCACTTAGGGCAAAGAGCATTAGCAAAAGAAAGAAAATAGATGGGTAGATGTGCAGGAAAGGCAGTGGTGGGTGTGAATAGGCCTAGAAGGGTTTTGGCTACGGGCAAGAAAGCATCTCTGGTGTGTGTAGATAGGCTGGCTAGAGGCCTGGCCAGGTCTGGCTCAGCTCCATCAGCTGGAGCAAAGGAGATGCTCCCATCACACCACACAAACCCAGCAGCTGCCACAACAGAGGCTGCCAGAAAAGCTGGTCACCAAGCTGGGAACAGGCATTAGCAACAGGGCAGGGGGGAAAGCCACGGGACAGCGACTGGGAGGCAGTGCAGGGCCCAGGAGGATGCTGCAAGCCAGGAGGGTGGAGAAGCCCCCACAGCCCAAAGCCCAGCAGGAGGGAAAGCAGCCAAGGGAAACCTCAGCATGACTGCAAAGACACCCGGAAAAAAAGCAGGCCTGTTCTTCAATCCCATTCCCCCAGACCCCAAATAACTGGTGGCTCTGCCATGTACACTCACCGAAATCATTTCTCTTTATTGCATTTTGCCATCTTAAAAAATGTACAGTCTGGTAACATGACACAGCATCTCCTGCTAGCTAAGACTACTAACCACCTTACACCTAACAGACTACCTTGGTCACTACAAAGCTAATAAGGTCCAAGACATATAATTCAGTTTACAAATTATTATGGTGTTTTGTGTTTTTTTTTTCCTTTTGGCATTATTAAAAAAAAAAAATCATCTTTAAAATACACACCCAAGAGAAAAGAGTGGCTACTTACACCAGCACCAAATCTAAAAGTAGTTTTCAACAATGGCACATGGAATTACCTGCACACAGCCTTTGTGTTTTATTTATTTATAGAGATAGAATCTTCTTTTTTTTTTTCTTTTCTTTTTTTTTGGAAAGAAAACAGAGAAATGGCAAACTCAGCCTGACAGGGAGGCTGCTGGAAAACAGTAAAATAAAATTAAAAACAAAACAAAAAAAACAGGTTTGGAAGGGCAAGAGGAAATCTGTCAGGAAAGGTCCTGATGTGGCACTGGGGTTATGGAGGCAGGAGCCAGGGGTGGGTGGGTGCTGGTGGCCAAGCCCTGCACCCAAGGACCCCCAGGAGGTGACTGCCATTCCTGACTCCCACCACCTTTCAAATTAAACACGTGTGACCAACCATTCCTTAAACCATCAGAGGCCAGAGGTGTTTTCCTTTTTTAAAACCTTTTTTTTTCTTTTTCTATTTTCAATTCCCCCCAAAGTCCATTCCCTCAATTGTATCAGCCACATTTTTTTTTTTAATATTTTTTTTTTTTTCAGCCATAAATAAAAAATATAAATAGAGGCACTTTAGTTAAGGAATAGTATTATCATTACCTTTTGTCCTTATTTCCCCTCCTTCTTAAAGCAAAGTGCTTAACTCCACCTTGAACATAATCTGCAGCTTTTGCAGCTGCTTGGCTATGAGGTGCTGCTTTTTGCTATTTGCTGCTTACCTGCTTTGTTTATTACTGCTTTAAAATGCTACTCAGAAAGTATATTTTTTTTTTGTCCTTTTCTTTTTTTTTATAACCTACAGTGCGTCAAAAGTTGCAATGAAGAGAAGAACAAAATGGTAAAACCACAGCTCTTGACAACTCTGGTTAGAGAGAGATTTCACAGCTTTCACTCAGCACGCAGACCCCGCGGCCTTTGGGTGCTTAGAACCTTATTTTGTTTGTTTGTTTTTCATACAAATTAAATTTTAAACAGCACTTTTGCTTATACAGTACATTGAGTTAACTGACATTTTACCCCGCCTGCAATACCGGTTATCTGACAAAAAAACAAAACAACAACCACAAAACCAACAACAAACCAACCTTATCTCAAATAAGAATTAATATCTAGTGCAACAGGGACAAACTCATCTCTCCACAGGAAAAAAAAAAATAGAACAAACAAACGAAAAAAGAGAAACCCAAAAAAGGATCACAAAAAGTATTGGTGGTATCAAAAGGGCTTGTTTTGTTTTCCTTAAAAAAAAGAGAAACCAACAACACATCACAAATAAATAAAAGTAAAAAGTAACAGTCCTCTATATATTCAGCATAATTTAAGAATAGAAATGTTAATATGTTAATGGTGGTTACTTTTTATTCTCCAATTCTCAATTTTCTAAGCCTTTAAATTATTACTCCCTGAGAGCTTGGAATTATTTTTATTAATTAAATTTTTTTTGTCTTTTTTATTATTATTATTCTTTATTATTTATTTTCTTTTTTTTTTTTGGACTGACATTTGACAGGTAGATCTGCTTACAAATTTGCAATGACAACCAACAGCAAACCAGATGAAAAACTGACCTGGCTTAGAGAGACAAGTGTTTCTTGGCATCGCTGCTTCTGTGTGTCCGGTAAAGGAGAATGAAAAGAAGGTGGGTGGAAAAGCCGGTGGGTTTTGCACCAGCCCCTTTGTACCCCAGAGACCCTCGGAGCTGACCCACCTTTACAGAGGATACAGTTTGTCCCACTGAACAGAAAAACGAGAATAAAAATTACAACACAAAAGTTCATGCTCTTCGTCTCTTCCGAGAACCCGCCGTTCCCACCGTCTGGGGCCAGAACAGGCGATAGAAGGATGAACAGGTCTGTGCGGCGGTGGAGCGGGAAGCACTTTGGGGTGACCTTCTTCCTTTAGCAAGGTTGGTGGGAAGAGGAAAGAGAGCATTTCCCAAGGATGATGGGAAGAGCATCGCCGGGAAAGAGCATCGCCGGGAGCGCTGAGCTCGGGAACCGGCGCGAAAGCACCGGAGGTGCGAGTTTGTTTGGAATAATCATGAGAACAACGAGAGGGAAAAAAACAAGCACGTTCAAGTTCAGTCAACTTTGTTGGGTCTTTTTTTCTTCTCCTATTTTAAACCCCCTCGGCTTGTGCGCAAGGTGCCCCCCGCAGACGGGCTGGGGGGGGGTGTCCCCAGCAGGAGGGCCTTTGGGGACCACGGAGACCGTCAGCATCTCTGGGTTGGGTCTCCTCTTGCTCTGCGGACATTGTGCTTGTGCATGGGGAGAAGGACTTTTTGGAGAGGGTGAGAGGGGAGGAGGCAGCACTGGCAGCCACCCACGTGGGCTCCTCCATCCCCACCCCCGACCCACCCTATATACAGACTGTATCTACACACACA